TCTATCATCCAGATCCAGTTCCATCCACTGGACAATCCTGGAGCTCCCTCTTCAAGTGATATCTGGGTCCTGATCCCTTACCACCCTGGCCCAATCCACCAACCATCGACTGGGCCCTGTGACAGTGACAGGCTCCCCCTTCACCCCCCTTCCTATCCCTCTCCACTCAGCAGCCTCACGTGTCTCCTGGGCCACTTGGAGGAAGAGGTGACATCCTCACCACCTACGAGGTCCCTGCCAAGTACACGATGCCCACCTGTCCCGCCTTGTCGCCTGCCAGCCCCAGCCCTTGTCCCACCCGGCCAGCCCCACCACGCTGGCCTCTTTGCTGTTTGTTGGACACTCCAAGAGGGTTCCCACCTCAGGGTTCTTGCATGTGCTGTTCCTTTTGCTTGAAACACACTTCCTTCTGAAATCAGGCCTCCTTTCCTCTCTGTCAAGGTCAATACTCCCTTCTCAGAGAGGTCTGACCACCTTAAAGAAACCGATATTTCCTAGGTTATTCTTTCTCTTTCGCCTGCTTTTCACTCATAGCACAGATCACAGGATATTGCATTCTACACTTTATCCATATTTTGTATGTGTGTTCCTTGCTCGTCTCACTGAAAAGAAGACAGGAGTTTCCATCCGTCCTGTTCCCTGATGGCCCCAAGGCCTGGTGCAGTGCCCGGCACCCAGTAGACCCCTGGGACCAATGGGCAGAGTGAACATCCAGGGAGGTGTGTGAAGGGTGGGAGGGGGCAGACACTCCTGCCAGTCCTCTCTGTGGCCCCTTGGTCCCCTCTCTGGGCATGGCTTCTCTCTCCTCCTGCCTCCGCCCCATCAACCCTGATGGGCATGAGGGGCTAGTGAAGCTTATCTCTCAGGGGAGAGGTTTCCAGCTGCGGGCAGACCCTCCTCCTCCTCTGCCCTCCCCTCCCCCTGCAGGCCTGGTGGGAGCCATGGCCACAGAGCCCCGCTGTGCACGGGGAGTTCTCAACCGACCAGGGCTCTGGGGGCAGACCCATGCTGGGTGTCCCTGCATTTTCATCTGGAAAGACCTGAGACTAACAGGAGTGATCAGCCCTTGGGAAGTCACTATGCTTGTCTCTACTCACAGACGAGGAAACCGAGGCTCTGAGAGGTGAATCTGTTTCCAGGGCAGCTGGAGCCACAGTGCTCTCCTCGGCAAAATGAGGACAAAAATCCCTCCCTCCTAAGGTGGTCGTGAGGTTTAAATGAGTTCAATAAAGTCTTTAAGAAGCACATAGTAGGGCCAGGCACACAGTAGGTGCTCAGGAATTGTTGGGTGCTATAGCTGTTGTTCCAAGAGGTGCGCTTACTTACCAAGGTCCCCTGGCCAGTAGGTGGTAAAGCTGAGACTCAAACCCAGCTCTGGAGTAAAGTACCTAACTCCCCCTCACTTCCACAAGATAACAATAATAGTACTGACAATAACAACGAGGAGAACGGTAACAGCGCCGTCCACAACAGTATTTTCCACCGCATGTGGTAGCCCTCGGGGTTAGCACGAGGTTACCAGGTGGCAGCACCTGCCCTGCGCCGGGACCACAAGCACCATTCCCCTGCCCTGCGGCTTCCTCCGCGGGGACAGGTGGGCAGCCCGCACCTCCTCCTGTTGGGGCGCCCCCAGTCCCGCCGCCCCGGGGGCCAAGCGGGGCCCCGAGGGGCGCGGACAGCCCCCCGGGGCAGGCGAGCGTGGCTCCGGGCTCTGGAAGGAGCTGCGCGGCCTGGAAGACATTACACGGCTGTTGGCCGGGGGGCGTCGCTCGGAGTTCCGGAGGGGGTCCCGGCGGCGGCCGCGCCGGGGAGGGGACGGCCCGCCACAAAGCGCGCTTTGTTCTGCGCTCCCCCCGGGAGCTGGAACCAATGGATTGGCGGCAGCTGAGGTCATCTGTCAGGCAGAGCCGGGGGTCAGGCCCGCGGAAGGGGCCGCGAGGGCGGGCGGGTGGCGGGTCGGGGTGTGCGGCCCATTCACCAGGCTGCTCGCGCCAGGTCCCTGCTCCTCCGGAGGCCTCGTTTCATCCGTCTGTCCCGCAGGAAAGGTCATTTCTGTCCACCTCTCGAGACTACTGTGCCAAGGACGAAGGGATGACGATGGTGGCAGTGGTGGCGGTGGCACTGAGCGCTCCCCGCCTCCCTGTTCTGTGGAAACGCTGCGGTCGGGATTGGGACCCCCCAGGCCGGCAGCAAACACAGCACTCGCGTCTGGTCCGGGGGAGTCAGAGCCTCTTCCCGGTCCCCTGCTTTGACCCCGGGCGCCAGATCGGGCTGCCTTTTGCCCGGGCTGCTCGGCGGAGCTGTCAAACCTGAGTCCTGGGACCCCTTGAAGACCATCTGGGTGGGGGGTCTGTTCCAGCTAGGACCCCTTCCCCTGCTGCCCGCCTGGATGCCTTTCCTGACTGGCGGTACATCCGGTCTGAATACTTTCCTGCACCTTCCACAAAACTAGATGCCACTCACTCCTTCCTTCACACCCTCAGTCCGTGCCTCTGTGTTCCATCCATGTCATGAGACGACTAGGCTTCTAAACACTCCACTCGGGGTCCCTGTTGGGGGCAAGGCCATCAAGTCCAGGGAGCCCCTGCAATCGCCCAGAGTATTTGTGTGTGTGTATTTCTGGAGAAAGGGCTTATTATGGCTTCTAAGGTTGCAGATTGAACCCTGGCTGGTACGGCTCAGTGGACTGAGTGCTGCCTGTGAACCAAAATGTCACCCGTTCGATTCACAGTCAGGGCACATGCTGGCTGGTGGGCCAGGCCCCCAGTCGGGGACACATGAGAGGCAGCCACACATTGATGTTTCTCTCCCTCCCTTCCTCTCTCTCTGAAAATAAATAAATAAAATCTTAAAAAAACAAAAGAAGTTACAAATTGAGCTGTGTATTTGGCCAGGCTGTCCAATCCTAGGTGCACAGTTCAGAGAACACAGACAGTGATGGGTGAAGGTGTTCACGGCAGCAAAATAACCGTGAACACTCAAATGTCCATCAACAGGAGAGTGACTAATAAATAGTTATATTCAGACCATGGAACACCATGAAGCAATGAAAAGAGTAAGCTCAACCTGTATGGAACTCATTCATTCAACAGGTATTTATCGAACACTTGCTACATACCATTCGTGGTTTGGGGTACTGGGCCTGCAGTGATAAACAAAACAGTCCAAGTCCTGTCTCAAGAAGTTACATTTAGTGGGTGAGAGAGTTGTCAGCAGACATGGAAGATGATTTCACGGAGTGTGATCAAGGCCAGGAAGAAAGTCTAACTGAGGAAGGTGATAGACTCATGGGGACGGGGCTGTTTTAGACAGTGAGGTCAAGGAAGGGCCCTCTGAAGAAGTGGCTGGAATGAGAGACTTTGGGAGAACAGAGGCACCAATGTGGCAGATGGCCAGGGCACATTGACAGGGAAGAAACGCAGTCTGCAAAATAATATATAAAAGGAAAGCATTCTTTACTTACCCACACTAACACTGCTAAAAAAAGTTCTGGAAGGAGATTTGCCAAATGAGTGAAGGTGATCGTCCCAACCAGGGAGGCAAAGGGACAACTAAGACTAGGACTCATGGTGGACTTCAGCTTGCCTCTAATATTTTAATTTTAAATGTTTAGTCACTTAGCATTTTACTATTGTAATGTTTTAAAGGTGAATATTCACCTATAATTTGTAAAATTCAAAAAGCGTATAAATCTACCACGGTGAAGAGGGTTGGTTGCCGGCCAGTGAGGGGACCAAGGGGTCCCTACACACTGCCTTACACTGGACCCAAGCTCCTGGGGCCAGTGGCTTGTTTGGGGAGGGGACACACCGTTGGATCAGGGGAGCCAGTAAGAGACATGCGGCTCAGCCTAGAGGATCAGGGATCAGGACGCTGTTTGGAGGAGGTGCGGCCTTTGCCAAGCCTGAGACTGGCTGGCTCAGCACCACCAGACTACAAGACAGGCCTGGAGAAGTCGTGTCCACTGGCACAGCGCGAGAGTGGTTAGAACACGGACAACCTGAGACTGAAAACTCCCAGCTCAGTCTCCTCACGCCTGGACTCCCCGCTTCCCTGGGTAACTAATGGGTCTTCTCTCAGCCGGGCCTCTCTACGCACCCGCTTTCCGTGGCCCTGGGGGCTATAGGCCCAGCCCGGCTCCAGCAGGCTGGGAAGCATCCCCACCTGCTGGCTAAAGAAGGAAACGCAGCTCTCAGCCTCCACTGAGAGCAACTAGGTTTCACCTTTCAAAACGCCCCTCCTCTTCCTTATGAATAACCCACACCTCTCAGTCCAATTCTCTTCTGCACCCTCCAAACAGTGTCTGGCAAGGCCCCTAGTGTTGCCTTCTGGCGTCTTATTTGCAAGAAGAAAAAACCTTTTCAGGAAGGGACAACCATTGCGTCACTAGCCAATCAAAAGCCAGCAGCACCTCCTGACAGCATAATCTACAAACCATGTCCTCAGATTCCTGACCCTTGCTACCAACCTTGGGGATAGACAGTCCATTTGAAAGCTTGGAAAAAGCCCCCAGGGAGGGTTTGTCTGATGTCACAGTGGAATGTGTACGAGCTGGCCCTAGAACACAGATATGCTGGGAGCCAGCCTAATGAGGGTGGAGGGGGTGTCACTGGTGGCACAGTCTAGATCAGTAAGTCCCAGCTTGCGGTTCCTGGCCAGCAACAGCAACAGTACCTGGGAACTAGTTAGAAAAGCAAATTCTCTTCCCTCACGGGTGTGGCTCAGGGTTGGTTGGGTATCTGGGCGTTGTCTTGCAAAGCTAAAGGTCCCCATTTTGATTCTGGGTTAGAGCATATCTTGGGGGTTGGAGTGTATATGAGAGGCAACCAATCAATGTGTCTCTCCATCTTGTTCTCCACCCCTTACCCTCTCTCTAAAACTAAATAAATAAAATCTTTTTAAAAAGCAATTTCTCAGATCCCGCCCAGACCTACTGAACTAGAAACCCTGGGGACCCCGGGGCCCAGCCACCCATTTTAAGAAACCAGTCTGAGAACCTGAACCATTGGTCTAAAGCAATCACATCCCTCTTTTTACTAAATAATCTTTTATTGTGGAATGATTTTCAATGTACAGAAAAGTTGCCAAGATAGTTCGGAGAATTCCCAGCCTAATCCCACGGCAACATCAACAGTCGTCAAAGCTAAGAGACTATCATTTGTTAATGTCGCTAAAATCCAGACCTATTCAAAGTTCCAGTTTTTCCACTAGTGTCCTTTTTTGGTTCTAAGGACCCAATCCAGGATATCACACTGCATTAAGACTGCATTCCTTTTAAATTCTATTGGTCACCTCAGTCAGCTTTCCCTGGGACAGAGAATGGGTGGGAGAGCTGCTGTCTTCATTACTGAACTACAGAGACCAAGGCTTGCAAAGGCCGAGTGACCAAGATCCCTTAGCAGGGCAGGGCAAACAAGGCCCGCCCCACTCTGTGCCCTTTCTCTAAGTCTTCCCTCCCACCCAGGACTCTTGGACCCTTTGGAATGTCCCACCTGACCTACCCCATCTCACCAGGGCAGATAACACGGTGCCCCTCCTGGAGTGGGCCCAGCCCTGGGAGAAACCCACCCCCTGTCCAATCAACTCTTCCCCTAATTTGAGGCTGGAGCAATGTCTGGTGACTTCAGCCTGGGCAGAGAGAGGCTCTCCCTGTGCAAGAGCAAGAGAAGCACTGTTTGCTATTCGCCTATGCAAATAATGTAGGAAAGATGGAAAAGGCCACATTATTTTCAGTTTCTCTAAGAGAAATAGTCTGTTTCCCCACCCCTTGGATCTGGACCAGCCTTTTGATGTGCTCTGACCAAAAGAACTTAGCAGAAGTGATGTTGTGCTAATTCCGGACCTAGGACTCAAGAAGCTCCCTGCTCCTACTCTCATCCTTTTGGAATCCTGAGGCCGTCACGTGACTGGGCCTGAGCTAGCTTGCTGGAGAAGCCACGTGGAGAACTAGTCACCCAGCCAACAGCCCGCCCACTGCCAGACAAGTGAGTGAGAACATCCTGGACACATCTGAGGTGACAGCTGACTGCATGCAGTCCCAGGAGTCCACCTTGGGTGACATCAAAAACTGTCCAGATGAACCCAGTCCAGACTGCCAACCCACAGAACTGTGGGCAAACAAATGACTTATTTTGAGCTGTGGAGTTTGGGGATGGTATGTTACACAGCAAAGGCTAACTGATAACAATTGCTCATTTCTCTCGGTAACGGGATTCCAATTTTGTTTCCGGAGGCAGTGTGCCAGTCCCAGGAGTTGGGATATGATCGGTCCACTCAATTGTGACAATTCCGTTCCCTGCTGTCTTTAGCTTTCTTTGCATCGAGGGGAGACAATGGTGGCTGGGTTGGGCCAAGGAAACCTAAGTGGAAATATGCAGGGGAGAGAGCAGGAAAACGCCCTCTGAGAAAGGTTTGACTTTATGGTAGAAGTTGACAGGTCCAGCTGGCTCAGCCCTTCCTTCTCCCTCACTACTTGCTTCCTAGAACATGGCCATGATTCCTGGAGGCACAGCAGCCATCTTGTGACCATGAAGCAATGAGTAACGAGGGAAAGGCTGAAAGGACCATAGAGATGTGCATCTCATCTCAGCGAGTTGTTAAACCAATGCTGGTAGTTGCCTGCCTCTAGAATTGACACTGTATGGAAACACAAATTTCTCCTTGTTAAACTGCGTTTTCCTTTGCTTAGAGCTCAATGTGTTCCACATAACTGGATATACAAAGACTGGATATACAAAAATACAGAAGGATCCCTGCCCTTGGTACTCTGGAGCCTGCAGCTTGTGGTTCTCCAAACCCATCTCCTTTCTCATTTTTGTCCTCTCAACAAACCCTCAAAGGTGAAGACACAACCCATTTTCACAGGGGTGGGAACTGGGCTTCCCACGCCATTCAGCAGTGAGTCCAACGTCTTGCAGCCAGCAAAGGGGGTGCTTGGTGCCAGACCCTCCTCCTTCCAGGCACAAAGAGAATGCCCCCTGCTACATCTTTTGCATGGCCCCGCCCACTGGAGGCCAGGTGTGTCTTTTGGGCTTTCAGGAGTGTTGGCACGTGGCAAAGAGCCTGCTATTGCAAGTCTGGTGTGGAAGCACCCAGGTACACCCTTAGGTCCGAGATGGTGGACTGGACAAGCTTGGCAGGGATGGTCTCTCGCTGTAGCTGCTGGTAGGCCGCGTAACGGTGACAGCCCCCGAAGGAGTAGAAGTAGTCACCACCCTGGGCTCCTTTGATCCAGAGGACATCGATGGGGGGCACGCTGTCTGGGTCCTCCTGGAGAGAAGGGGGTGCAGGGACGTGAGTACGGGACAATGCCTGACCGTTCACACGGCAGACTTTGCTAGTTTGTGTTGAGTTCCCACAGGGGAGCGTGGTGGCTCATGCCAGCTCGTGGGAAACACTGTCAGGTATTCAGGAATTCTCTGAGTTGGTTGACATCACCTTGGTAGCTTGAAATCCAGCCATGGTGAGAGTATTTACACCAGGGAAATGGGCAGGTGCTACAGATCTGGGCTTCTCCTCCCTGGAAACCAGCTTGTTAAACATTTATCAACACACCACATGCGTAGATATCTGCATACATGTACACACACTCCATACATCTCTCAGGCACTATCCTAGACTTCGGGCATACGGTACAGCCAGGATGAGACAGACACAGCCTCTGCCTTCATGGGCTTCAGTCTAGTGGGCCAAATGGAATGAAGTGAGTGTTAGAGAAATGCTAGGAAGACAATAACGCGAGTTGCCATGCCACGGATGGGGGTCCACAGGCCTCTCCAAGGTGACAATGAACATGACATAGAGAACTGAACATAAGAGAAGCCCACTTGGAAAGACAGAGTCGGAATAGTTTAGAATAAGGGCCTGACTGCCATGTTCAAATCTCAGCTCTGCTACTTAGCAGCTGGGCAACCTTAGACAATGAATCTCTTTGTGCCTAAGTTGCCCCATCTGTCAATGCCACACACTAAGCGCTCGAGGATTAGATGTGAGGGAAGATCATTCCGGGCAGAGGGAACAACTCGGGCAAAAGGCCGGAGGCAGGACCAAGTTGGCTGTATTGGAGGCGTGGCAAAAATGCTGGCTGACCAGAGGGCACTCAGGGGGGACTGCAGAGAGGAAGTCAGAAAAGTCAGCAGGAGCCAGCCCACGTGGGCTGGTTTCTAAGAGTGGTGGCTGGGCCCTGGAGCCCAGGGGAGGGTGACAGGATCTAATGAACATTCTGTGAAAGTCGTCCCAGGAAAGCAGGCTCGGTGGCGTGGACAAGGGCAAAGCAGGCGGGGCAGAGACAGGCCTCCGCAGGTGTTCAGCGGAAGACACTGGCCTGGGGGAGGGGTGCGGGGAGAGGGAGAGGCGGACAAGTATGGGGCATGTTTAGGGGGGAGACCTCACGCGACTGGGGGAAGGGTGAATGTGAGGAGAAGAGAAGGAGAATCTAAGCTGACTTCCTGCCATGGGCCTGCAGCCAGCTGGAGAGTGAGTGGTCCTCTAAGTAGGGAAAAACAGAGGCAGGGCTGGGCAGAGGTAGCGCATGCACGCTGGGGAGACCACATTAAGTGGGAACTGCTTGGAAGTCCCCCCTCCACTGGCCCATGGGTTCCCTTTGTTATGCCGCTTTGTTGGATTCATTTATCCACTTATTCCAGAAATGATTATTAAGCAGTTAGGAGCGGTTAGGAGCCAGGGCTCTGGAACCAGGCAAACGTGAGTTTGAATCTCAGCTCCTCTAAAGAGCGGCAGAGGGACCCTGAGCAAGTGGCCTTGCATCCCTGAGCGTCATCCCTAACTGGTACCATGGGAGTAAGACACCCTGTAGGGCTGCTGGTGAAGGATTAAGAAGCTGGTGCAGGGAGGCACAGAGTGTGGCCTGCTGGGCAGCGGAGCACTGACTAGGGGCAGCTGTGCCGGGTGCTGGTGGTGTGGGCGGCGGATGGGCAGAATAACAGCTCCCCAGAACAGCCACCTCCTGCTCCCTGGAGCCTGTGAATATGTTACTTACATGGCTTAGGGGACTTGGCAGATGCAATTAGGGATCTTGACAAGGGAGATGCTGCTGGCTTTGAAGACAGAACAAAGATGCTGTGAGCCAAGGAATCTGGTGGCCTCTAGGAGCTGGGAAAGGCAAGGAAATATGGATTCTCCCCAAGAGACTCCGGAAAGGAATGCAGCCCTGCTGACAACTTGATTTTAGCCTGGTGAGACCCATTTTGGACTTCCGACTAGAGAATAACAAGCTGCATTGTTTTAAGCCACTAAGTTTCTGGTACTTTGTTACCCTAGGCATAGAAAACTAACTGGCTCCTGCCCTCACAGAGCATGCGGTTCTAGCATGGAAGGCAGGTGTCTAAACATCCCATCAAAACCCAGAGGGACCAGAACTATGTTGGTGGCGTGCGGGAGGCTCGGGGCCCCTAGACGGCCCCTAACCCAGGAGAGGCCATCAGGGAAGACACTGACTCTGAGACAGGAAGACCGAGGGGTTTGAACTAATAAAGAAGGGATGGAAGAGTGTTCCCCGCAGGGTAAGAAGCCCGTGCTAAGGCCCAGGGTGGGAGACAGGGTGCAAGAGCAGATCCTCCACGGACAGCCAGGCACTGTGCTAGTGCAGAGGAAACAGCCAGGCTACGGCGTCACATGAGGTGGGGCAGGCAAGGAGACACCAACAGATAAACGTTTAATGTAATGCCACGTGGACGGAAGTGCTTCATGGGGAGATACCTCAGGTTAAGAGGACAGAGGAGAGGCCATCAGCCCCGATGGACAGGGAGGCAGAGACCGAACCAAGTGCGGGCACAGGCCCTGTGGCCGCCTGGGGAAGCAGTTGCGGGCAGCGGATCAGCAGAGCAAACCCCAGGACTGAGAGACACTGGGGGGAGCTGTAGAGGTGTTTGGCGCAGCCTGGGGTCTCATATGGTCACCTTCCAAGGGTCTGAGGGAAGGGGCCAAGATGCCACGCAGGCCTAACCTGACACATCTGGCCCCTCCCCAGAGTTCCTGCCAGGATCCCACCTGCACTCTCGAACATCTTCCCTCATTGACAGGGCTGAGCCCATCCTCGCCCCGTTCCAATTCAAACAAGGCCCGCCCAGCGGACAGGACCTGCCAGTTCCTTTGTCACTCCTGTGCACAGCCAGAGGGGACAGCATAGCTTATCTCCAGGTAGTATGGTGGCAGTGCTGCTGGGAACTGGGGCCAGGTTGTGCCACTTTCTAAGTGACCTTGAAAAAGTTGCTTAAATCCTCCCATGCCTCAGTTTCCTCTTCTGTAAAAGAGGAACAACAGTAGTATCTACCTTATAGTGTTGACATGAAGAAGCTACGGCACTTAAAACTGCTGCTGGGCGCTGCAAGTGCTATCTTTATGTTAGCGATCCTTATTTTAACTATCCCGTCAATCCCCTGCTTGCTCAAGTGAGGCAAAAGAGGCCCAGAGAGGCCCAGCTACTTGCTCAAGGTCACACAGCAAATACAGTGCTCAGGCGGAGCCAGGAACCAGCCCCCTCTAGCGTCCGGTGCGACCTGCCTCCTCCGGCACCCTCCCTCTGACGGTCGTCCCCGGGGCCTCACCCGGATCGTGTCCACGAGGCTTTGCACTTTGGCTGGGTCCAGCACAGACGGCAGAGGCCGGATCAGCACGCTCAGTGGCACGTTGTGCACCGCGGCGATGCAGCCCGAATGGATGCTGCCCCCCTGCGCGGCACCGCTGGGTCCGGGTCCCTCGGGCGCCCCCCGGCTCGCCCCGGCCCTACTCAATGCTCCTCCTGCGCGTAGCCCCATTGCGCCACCGCCGCTGGCCGTGCCGCCTCCTCCCTCACCCTCCCCACCCGGGACTTTAACCCGACCGGGCCGTACCATTCCTGGCAGGCCGGCGGGGGCCCGAGTCAGGGTGCCTTTCTCCCCAGACCCGGCGGTGGTCCGGTCCCACCCCGGCACCCCGCAACCTGACGTGGGCTCGGCTTGCTGGGCGCTGCGGAAGCCGTGCGGGGCTCGGGCTCTCCGCTGGGGGGCGCCCCGTGCTCTCCCCTCTGCCGCGTGGAGTCCCGGGAGTGGAAGCGCCCGGACCGGCTGACTCAGGGTGAGTCTGCAAGTCGTGGGCCTGGAGAGCGCCGCTGACGCACAGTCCGGGGTGACTCAGGCCCGCGGGGTCGGGGCGGGGACAGGGGGCGGTAACCGAATCTGTGGAGCGAGGATGAGTAGGCAAAACCCACAGTACTTGGCCGCGGGGCAGTCAAAACCCTTCGGATAATAGTCCTGGAGGTGATAATAATGACAACAGTGGCTGTACGAATCTGGTGCTGAGTCAGACACTGTCCTAAACACTTAGCATGTGTACCAACGTAGTTAAACCTTGAAACAACCCTGCATGGTAGGTAGGATTATTGGGATAATAATCCTCTTTGCAGATGAGGAAACTAGGCACAGCGATTTGCCTAAGTTCATGGAGCTAGGAAGTGGCGGAAGCAGGGATCAAATCCAGACAGGCTGGCTCCAGGGTGCGCCCCCTACCCCACCGCTGGTTGCCTCCCTCCGGCAGAAGTAACTGTCACAAGGAGCCTTCTGGAGTTGTGCTGACAGCGTGTGGGCACTGCCCTGAGTTCCACACTGTCTCATCAAATCCTGACGTCACCCCTGGTGGTTGTGGAACCGCGTGTCTAAGGTACAGCAGCTGAAAATGCAAGTCGGTTCATCTGAGCCCAGAGCCTGGGGCCACTTAACCACAGACAACCTGCTTACTGACGGGGACCTTGAGCCTTCAGAGGGTGGTGGCAATGACGTGGATCCGGTCGTGCTGACTGCCAGCCCCATTCTCCTCTGTTTAGAGCCTCCTGTCCCCTTGGGCCCACGTTCAGCACCCAGTGTCCTCTGGGGCCAGGGAGAGGTAGGCAGAGGGTCCAGGTTTAAATTCCAGGTTTTATTAGCATCTGTGTGAACATGGGGGCTTTGGCACAGGTTGGCCTGGGTTCAGGTCTCATCTGGTCAGTCCCTCGCTGTGTGGTCAGAGGCAAGTTGCTTTACATCTCTGACCCTCAGCAGTCTCTTTTGTAAAGTAGTTGTGGGGAAATTTGGGGGACACTCAGAGATAATGGCTGATGGAGGGCAGGGTAGGGGCCGTAAATGAGTGCTTAGCGGTCGGCCAAGTACATAGTGGTTTTATCATGAACACCCAGAATGCTTAAGGAGAGGTGAATTTTTACTGAGGGTGTCAGGAAAGGTTCCCTGGAGGGGGGCATCCAGACGGGAAAACGGCGTGGCCCTGGAGCAGGGGAGGGAAGAAGCGGGTGATGGTTTAGGGTGTGGGCTCTGGAATCCCTCGAATGGCATGGATTTGAATCCCGGCTCTACCACCGCCTGCCAGCTGTGGTATCTGAGGGCAGAGGCGGTTGTTCAACTTCTCTGTGCCTCAGTTTCTCCCCTGACTTTCTGGGCAGAGTAAGTGAGAAAAACACAGTAAGTGTTTAGAAAGGTTCCTGGCACTAGAAAGTACGGGATGAAAGGCAGATGTGAAGGACATTCCAGACACAGGGTCAGCTTGAGCAAAAGCAGGGAAGGTGGGACAGTTCCAGATCCAGCTGGAGACGGACACGTCTGGCTCAGTTGTCCTCCCCACCCTGACGGGCACCTGCGTGGGCAATGCGCAGTCACCCTCTCAGCTGCAGAAAACCAGGAATGGTACCCACTGTGGGGGGGGCACTGCCACATGAACCAGTTACTGATGCTTTCTGAACCCCGTACAGAATGGGGTAACGCTGCCCATCGCTCAGAATTGTTGGGAGTGTGAATTGAGAAGATGTACGTAATAAGTTCCTGGCGTGTGACACCCATTTTACTTTTGAAGATCGCTCATGCTGGGTTCTCAGGCTGTTGCAAACCTTAGAATGCTGAGGCCCTCAAAATGTAACCCCTGTGAGCAACTTACTCATACTTTGTTTCTGGAAGTAGAACTGATACCCACACCTCAGCCCCAGAATTAAGGAGAATTAGAGAATTAGAGAATTTCATCAAGAGGGAAGTTGTCGCTTCTAGAACCACTTCCTCATGACTTCCTCAATAAGAAGAGGCAGGAGAATAGCATCTGGAATGGAAAAAATGGGGATTTGACCTGAATCTCTCACTGTGGTACGCCTAGTGAGGCTCTCCCACTCTTGGTACCAAGTTCTGTATGGTAAGATGCCTGTGGCTCAGCTCAAAATGGCTTAAACATTAATTAAAATTTGTTTGTTTCCAAATATGTTTTGAGGTAGTTGTATCCATGGTTGGTAAAGTAGTTGATCACTGTCATCAAAGACTGAGGTTCTTTCCATCTTTTTGTACCGTCATTCCCCATGTTCTGGTTTTTCTCCTCAGGCTTGCCCCTCATGGTCCCAATATGGCTGCTGTGGCTCCAAACATCACATCACCATAAAATGACTTTTAAAGATAGAAGTTGAGATATCCCTTTGGGCCTCCTTTCTTAAGAGTGAAGAAACCTTTACTAACCACTGTCTACCCTCCTACCCCCTTGCCCAGGAGCCTGTGCCTCATAACTCATTGCTGAGAATTATATCATGTCCGTGCCTAAACCAATCCCTGGCAAGGGAAGTAGAGTTACCAAGGTAGGCTTAGCTTAACTCTCATTCACCTATGGGCTTAAGAGGGCCTACCTTCCACTGAAGTTCATGGTCCCTGATCTCTGAACACAGCTGGCAAGGTCTGGTAGCTGCAACCTCGTTTTCCTGTGCAGAACCTCCTTTCCCCACTCTCAAGACTGTGTGGTTTGGTGGGCCAGACCCCACTGTCGGGGGTGAGGGGACGTGGCAGCAAAAAGAAAGGAGGGACCTGACCGGGCCTGCCCCAACAGCAATTGCATTGTATTGGCCCACCTGTCCCTAAATCAGTGAGACTGGGACTCCAGCGTCTTGTCGGGTTTAATATAAGGCGCCTTCCACGGGGGCTAATGTAAGTCTGGAACTGGAAGCTGGAGAAGATTCGAGACATACACAATATCCTTTTGTTTTAGTTTGGATTCTCTCAGAAGGAGACCCTGAGATAAAAACTTGTGTGAAGGTCGTTTCTTTGGGAGATGTTCTAGTTATTATCACCGTAAAACAAACTGCTCCAGAATGCAGTGGCCCAAAACAACTGTTTTATTATCACCACCAATTCTGGGTCATGAAGTCAGACAGGGCTCGGTGGGGGCTGCTCATCTGTTCTCTGCAATATCTGGGCCATCAGCTGGGAGGTGACTGGCCAGCTGGGGCTGGAATCATGCGGAGGTGACTTCATCTGCACGTCTGGCAGATGGTACTGCCTGCCAGCCGGAACACCCCCGGTGGCCTCCCCACGTGGCCTCTCCACGTGGCCCGGGCTTCCTCATATCATGGCTCCAGCTTCCCAGAGCTGCTGCCCCAAGAAAACCTGGCAGAAGCTTCATGGGCTTTTCCAGTCTGGTCTTGGAAGCCATACAGAATCATTCCTGATTCTGCTGGATATACAGGCACTGGCACAACCCCACCCTTTCCCCCCAGGCTCAAGGGACAGGACAGAGACTGCGCCTCTTAATGGTAGAGTAGCAAGGTCCTAAAGGAGCCTGTGGGTGGGAAGTATTGTTGTGATTGTCTTAGAAGACACATCTGCTGTAGGAGACGATCCCAGGAATGATGAGGGGGGGTGGCAATAAAGGGCACAGTGAGGAGCAGGTCAGCTTGGCGGGGAACCGGGGCTCACTCCTCCTGGGGACTCTGAGAAGAACATCACACATCACATGTCAGTCGGCACTGTCCCTCTGAGGAGCAAGGGGTAGGGGTGGGCCTGGGCCTTTTTCATTCACTGACTCCTGTCCTTTATCGGTTGAGGGTGGCCTGCGGATGTTCAGTCTTTGCCATTGCTGGCTGCCCAGCACTCAAACTTAGCAAGCATCTGAGGACCCGGAGGATGAAGCTGCTGTTTATGGTGGCCTCAGGGGTGGCCGAAGGGAGTAAGGGGCAAGACATCAGGACATTTCTTTTCTGCCCAAATCAGCTGGATCCATGTTTGCTGTTTGCAGCCGAAGGCCCTGAGCACCTGTTCTCCCCTTCCTGCTCCTGGGCTCCCCGCCCCTGTCCTCCTCTTTCATTTCTGACAAAGAATCCAGTCCCTCAAGCATTCATTTGGGTACTCGAAAGACTTCTGAGTGTTTGGGAGACGAAAGGATTTCTGTGCCACAAAAGGAACATTAAAATCTTATATTCCCCTACCGCTAAAATGCTCTAGTCCATTTCTACAGCTTGGCTTACAGGGTTCAGCCCTGTTGCTGGGTGCCATCCTTTCTGTTTTTTTCCTCCCATCTCCTCTTTGTCACCTCTACCAACCTGTAAATTCCTGTACTTATTTTAGGCAGAAAGTGTGTCTCTTTCTTTTGCAGCTGCAGGGCCTGCTAGCCATCTCCTTGAGGGTCTTGAGGCAACTTTGCACTTAAACTACTCTTCCTCATAGTCACAGAATGACTGCCAGTTCTCACTGGGACAGCCTCCTTCTTTGTTCGTGTCCTCGCTTAGGCTGCTATACCAAAATCCCATAGATTGGTTGGCTAAGCAACACTTATTTCTCACAGTTCTGGGGGCTGAAAGTTTGAGGTCAAAATGCCAGCAGATTTGGTGTCTGGTGAGGTTCCACTTCCTGGTTCTTCTTGCCGTGTTTTCACATGGTGGAGGGGGGCAGGGAGAGGTCTCTGGGGTCTTCTCTTATAAGGGCACTAACCCCATTCATGAGGGCTTCACCTTCATCACCTGAATCACCTCCCCAAAGCTCTACCTCCAAACACCACTGTACCAGAGGGTTAGGATTTCAACATGTGAATTTTACGGGACGCAGAT